ATCGCAATTGAAATGGGATTGATTGGGACTGGAAATGAATGGATAGAGCCATACAGCTGCATTCCCACCGGCCCCTTCACGACTTTACAACTTTTGAAATGGATGTTCCTCCATCGTAGATCATCTATCATCAGAGACAACAAACAATTGCTGTTTCCGCCGAGGCGAATGCTTCCTCAATTAAGCCATCTGTATTTACAAAGAAAAAGCGAAAAAAAAAGACGCAGCTGGTTCCGTGCGGTAGGATCCTTCTTCCTCTCTCAAAGTGCCACGACTGACGTCGGAATAATCCTCGACCGCGACATTTTCAAAGTGCGCCTTCCAAATGGGATGTTAAAATTTGACCAGTTTCAGGATAACTCGGTTTTTCTCCATTTACAGATTTCTCCAATCAATACAGTCTCTATCGAGGTTTCTCTCGGAATCCTGTGATAACACCAAAGTAAGCGTTTTCACGAATATTGATAGCAAGCTTGCTAACAAGGCTCATGGCGCAGAAGAAAAGAGATGGGCTACAGCGGGAACAAAATTGTCCAATGAAAGCTCGGGGCGAAGCCATACTGATTTCTGGCAGTTCTAATTTGTGCAGTTTGAGCGCGATCGGCTCTATCGATTCGAACAACAGAAGCGATTCCATCTCAGAAGCGCGATGAGGCCGGCTCGCAACGCTGCATCATGCAGTGTGCCATAAAGTCCCACTTCACGACGCGCATACTTGTCCCTTGTCGCGCGCGATATGAAAACCAAAAATAACACGCGCCACCGGTGGTCTGATTATGTGTGGTTCAAAAATTGGTGGTTGTCTGATCGACCTTGTTGTTACTTTTTTATGTCTATATCTTTTGTTTCTCCAATTATAATTCATTAGAATTATATTGTAGTTGAAAGAGATCGTTGTATTCGTATCTCATATCATCTTTCGCGATTTTAAGATTAGAAGGCAGTCCTGTAGAATCCTAGACAGATGGTTGCTAGTGGGGCCGAGGTGAGTAGAAGCACCTGTGCTTAAAACTCGCAGACCGCGATGGCGAATCATTTCTTGCTTGGCCGGCTGATTCCGCACTGATGCGACTTCCCAGCGGTGCTGCCGTTCTCAACGCTAACGCTCTCTCTTCTATCAAAGAGGGTCTTTCAGGTCATAGAGCGCTTTTCCGAAATGGTTTCTTGCATGTTGTAAAGGCTCATGCGAGGAACATAAAACTATGGTCCATTTTTCCTGAACACTTCTGGGAACCTCAAAACAGTGGTGAAGAAATGGTCCAAAGTTCAATCCGCCGTGGTGACAAATTTTTGCAATCCATGTTGGAGCCTCCAAATTGTCGCCAAATTACGAGGATGACATGTTAATCGACGCTGGTGCCATTTGGACACAATTTGGAGGCGCCAACATAAATTGCAAAAATTAGACATCACGGAGGATCGAACTTTGGACCATCTCTTCTCCACTATTCTGACCTTCCTAGAAGCGTTCAGGAAAAAAAACGGACCATTGGTTTTGT